CTCATACCGGGAACTCGAAAAAAAAAAAAAAAAAAAAAAAAAAAAAACCATAGCATGAGGACCTGGATTTATTGTAACAGATTGGAGGTAAACCTTCTGTTTTTCCAGTCACGGAGAAGACACAAATATATCTTAGTCGAGAGAGAAAAGGGAACGAACATGTATGGGGACTGCTGTAGGGATATCTGAGAAAGGGCTCTGAGCTCTGCTACACCCCCTCCCATGTTACGAGGCTGATTAGGACCAAGAGTCATCTAAGCACCTACGGACCAGTGACTTCCTTTCCTGAATGAAATGCGGGACGTGAAAACCTGTTAGACTTTACTCTGCAGTCTGCTGACCTGCCCTAGTGACACAGCAGAAAGGGTAGAAAGTGTGGCTTGTTCAATATAAGTGGAGTGAACAGTCCTGTTAGGTCCCATTCACCACCAACAGGGAATCAACAAGTTCTAGGAGTTTCTTTCAGCTCCCATCACTCAGTTTCCCACCATTCTCAGACACATAACAGTGGCTGAGAAACGGTTAAGAGAGCTGTAGGTATTTAATAGTTGAAATTTCTTGTTCCCTTTAGGATATTAATATATGTGTGTGTGTGTGTGTGTGTCTGTGTATAAATGTAGTAATATATACCATTAAAAAAATCTCAGTTTTTGATTTTTCAAATGACTTCAAACTTACTATACTGAAAATTATTAAACAAAATTGTTGCTGATATTTGAAAATTAGAAGGGTTTAATATTAAAAACCATAGCATGATGATACTGGCATAGAACGGTGCTGGTGACTCAGAATAATCTCTAAAATGGCAAATAGTCATGCCAAGGGCATCAGATGCTTTGCTGGAGCATGAGAATAGGGGCAAAGACCGGAATCCAGGTGGGTAGCTCACACCCAAGTGGATGAGGGATTAGATCCGTTGGACTAGGCCATGGTTGAAACATGGAAGCAGCCACAGAATGTGGGTCATGCCATTTAGAATGTGTCCCCAAAAGTTCCTGTACTGGAAACTTAATCCCCAAGGCAATATTATTGAGAAGTGGGACTTATAAATTATGAGAAGAATCAATGTACTGTTGTCGTTTTCATGGAAGTATTTGTTGGAGAAGTGGGTTCAGCCCTCTCACATGATTTACCAGCTGAGATTTATCTGTGTACTCCTCTCTTCTGCCATGTGATTCTCCTGCCATGCTCTGGCACAGCGAGAAGGCCCTCCGCATACGTGGCTCCTTGATCTTGGACTTCCCAAGCTCCCACAACCTTGAGCCACATAAATTTCCATTTATTGTAAATTTATTGCAAACTACCCAGTCTCTAGTATTCTATTGCGTAGAATCACACTATAGACTAAGACACACCAATACAAGGATGCAGACACCATGGCAAAATCTGGAGATGACTGAATTTACCAAGAACTGATATAAGGCTAGGATTTTTGCTGACAAACAGGCAAAGATTCCAGAAATAAATTAAGTCATAAAAGAATGAATAAAATTAGATTCTTAGTACACCTGAGCTTGTGACTGGGAAGTTTCGTGAGCAATACATAGGTCTAACTCTATACCGATTTCATTTTAAAGCGTGTTAGCTATCGTTTGATCAAGCATGATTCATCAGACTTTTCTGACAAATGGTATGTGGTTGATAATCTTTTGCACATGGCTCCAAAGTGAGGGAACCCGCACTTCAACTTGATTATCTTAGAGGATTATGTTTTCATAAAGTCATTCTGATTACATATTCCATTCTTGCAAACAGCTGTTTTAATATATTAACCTCTAAGCCTTCAGAACTGCTATCCACATAACCTTTAACCCACACATAGATAATTTCATCTGATGGGATCGTCGGTGATTTTTTTAAAAATCCCTTGCTCTTCCTCCCTTCCATGGTTAGCTCTCCTTATTTTGATTTTAGTTTTAGTGTGGGAACAGCTAGAATACACATGCCTGGCCAGACTCACCAGCTAGCCTCCTCCCATTGACATTCTGAAGTGCCTCATGCATGTCACTTTGAAACAGTCTATGTTTTCCCCATCCTACCAAACTCACAAAAGCTGGGAGAGAGAATGCCATGCCCCCTTTTCAGTAATTATTCCGGACAAGACTCTGCATGGCTAGCAGAATAGGAATAGAATAGAAAACA